CCCTCAAGTCACGACCCATTACCAACCAACAAACCCCCAACACATTATTTGTTCGTTTTTAACATTGGTTGGTTTTGCTTTCCATGCCAAACCCCCCCCCCCCCCCCCCCCCCCCCCCTTCTCTTCGGCGTGAGTGAGATTAATAGCTCTTCAATTTAGGCATGCTCATGTCAGCGGCGATGGCAATTAGGACAACTGATGTGAGCCTGACGATTAAAAAGTCTTTCATTTGCGTTTACAAGCCTGGTTCTTTGGCTTTGGCAAAAATAAAAGCCGGCTGGAAGATGAATCTCGAATACAGGTTTCTGGAGCCTGAGGTTGTTTCCACTCGTGAGCCGAGTGAGATGTATAATCCTTTCGGCACTCCAGACGCCGCCGGTTCCTATCAGGTCACCAGCTTCACACAGCTGGACTATCTCAACTTAGTGGACAACATTCTCACCGAGCTGAAGGATAGGAGAGCCATCGTCTCGGGACCATGGTTTCGAGAGATCCAACGGGTGTCGCGAGAAATGCGGACCGAGCGGGAGACAATTCAAAAAGCTCACCCAGACGATCATCTCACCTGGGAGGCGAAGAAGTGGGAGTTTCGGATCCCAGATTATGACCCCGACGATTTGGATTGGATGATCTGGGACCCGGCCAAGAAGGCTTTTGATCATTATAAAGATTACGATCCGAGCTGGGATAGAGTCATTGTGCCGGCTTATTGATTCGTTGAAACCTTTTGTATCTATCTATTTATCTGTGAGTGAATGAGAGAAGATCTGAAAGAGACGCAGTGATCAATTCTATTTATCATTTGACATTGATTATTACCAGTTAAGCAAATAGAACATACATATAGACACCTCCAATATTCATAACCTGATTCCTTGTTATCAAAGAATAATAAATAGAAAAAGAAAAAGGGAGGAAAGAAAGACGAGACAAGTGAGCAAGTAAATTTTAAAAAAAAATAAAAAAATGAAGAGGGCCCAACCGGGATTTGAACCCGGGTCACACACATTTTCCCATTTGACATGGAAGGATCGAATATTCCCGAAGCGTGTATACTACCTCTGTACTATCGGGCCATGTAGCTTGCTTTGTTGAGATCCTGGAAACCTTTTCATGATTTATGAGGTTGTGCGGTCCGCAGCGGTGGTGACTCATAAGTCGCAGGAGCTACTTGGATAACGTTTGCCGGACGTGCACGCCGCCTTCTTCTAGATGCTGGATTCAGTGATTTATTGGTTGGGCATGTACCAATGATGCTAAAAAAGGACGTTATGTTCAATGGAAAGAAAGCCTGAAAGGAAGCTGTGCCATTTAGAGCGATGCGTGATTCATTGCACACAGCACTGCCCGACTTTTGTATCACCGGTCAGTGCCGCATCACAAATCAGCAAGATGGCCGTCGGGCTGCTAGTTAGTGGCGGTCGGTGTGCTACACAAAAAAAAAAAAAAATTACTTAGGAACGTGAGCTTCATCGCAGAATCTGCCAAAATGCACGGGGCTGTCTACATCTAGGCTAACTAAGCAAACGGTAGTTTGGCGAAAGGTGCTTGTTTGCTGAGGACTCAAGCTTCACTTGGATGTGCGTTCTTGAATGGAGGAGAATTGCTCATAGAGTGCCCAGAAGGCCTTCAGCATCCTCACAGTTTGTAGGTGGAAGAAGCCTCAAAGCTATTGATTCCTGGCTTTGTCTAGAAACTCAGGATGGATGCACTATACATATACCACTGAATGACTTTTATTCAGAATGCCACAAGGTCCGTGTAGCTGAGTCTCCAGATGGATATTGGCATGAGGAGATGCTGGAAGAGCCGTGGATAGCCTGATTCTGATTATGAGACCCATCGCGAAGGTTATCATTGTCTGCAAAAGAGAAGCAAATGCATACATCACTGCAGAAAAGGGCGCAGGTTCACGCATGTGTTTTTCAGTATTAGTATTATTACAGCAATTGTGCTTATCTACCATGGGGTCAAGGCTATCATATACCTTCTCAGCCTCTTGTTCCATCCCTGTTCTGTTCGGTAGAAGTATCTACACTGATACTGCTCACTGCTCATTGATGATATCTACCTGGAGGCCGATGTATCCCTCCGTCGTAGATATCCATAGTAGCAGCAGTCAGTCAGCCCGAGAAGAGAAAGTCCATATACCCGGATAACCCTTCAGTCGCTAATGTACATCCTTCCTTGCCCTTTTGTAATCGGTATCATCCAGCTGATATCGAAAGAAAGGGCAGAAGAAAGAAAAGATGAGAAAATGAGAGAAGAACAGGAGTGTTCCTGATTATGTGAAAAGACCTTTTTGTGTACCATGCATGGCCCCAGCGCTGGTACTTAAAAAAGCAGCAATGCAATTTGGGCAAATGGTAGACAAAAAGATCACAAGAGATCCGACCGACTTTTATGTCATCATCATCATCAAATGTCTGCTCTCTCTCTCAAGAAAAATATCAAGAGTCAAGACCAAAGACATATCCGTCTCAATGATAATAATGGGCGAAGTACATGCCGTAAGCCTCGGGCACCTTGCCGCCCTCGATGGCACGCTTGATGATGCCACCAACGACATCGAGCTCGATCTCGGCCGCGTGCGCGAGAGTCATGTTGTCGAAGTCGACCTGTCCGCGGGGGTAACACAGCTCGACCCAGGTGAAGCCGAAGTAATCGTGCGTCTTAGACTGCGCTGCATTGAAGGCCTGGCGCTTCGACATGGGCATCTGCGCGATGATGCGGTTGGTCTCTTGGCGCATGAGGCAGATGTACCACTACAGAGAGGGGAATGAGTTAGCTCTGTTCAACAAGACAAGGAAAAGGGGAGGACATGGGCAGTTAGCTAGCTGTGTACTTACCTCAATCAAGTCGTTCTGCGAGCCGCTGCGAGGAATCAGCGCCCAAAGGTGGCTCCAATTCTCGGGGAAAGCCGGCTGATTGAACTGGAGACGCTCGTGCTGCGTCATACCTCCAGCGATGGCGCAATTGTCTTTCATCATGACGCTGAAGCCAGGACACAACATCGCAGCCGCGACAAGGCGCTTGAGAAGGTCATCATTGAGACGCCAGTGGTGTTTTTTAATTTCGGCCTTCTTACGCTCCTTCTTCGCCTGAGCGCTGTTGGGGTTCTTCGAGGCAGGCTGGCGAGGTAGAGGATGGGCGCGCTCGTACTCAATCTGCTGTAGCTTGTCCTTCAAGACCTGAATCATCTTCAGCGCGGCTTGGTAGAGGGCGTTACGCTGGCCGATGGTGATGTGTTGGGCTTGGTTCCAGGGGACTTTGCGCAGAGTCGAGATCATGCATTCGTAAGGGCGCTCGGGGCAACCGACGGAGAACTCGTGCTGTTGATTGAATGGTCAGTATTGAAATGAAAGGAAAGGAATGTCAAAGGGAGGGGTCTATGGAAACTTACACGCTGGGGAGTCTCGACATTCTTGGCCAGCATAGTCATCTCCTCCTCAGTGAAGAATCCCTTGAAGTTGTCCCAAGCATCAGGACGGTTAGTGATCGGACGGGGCCGAGCACCCTGCCACTCAACTCGGGCATGAGGAAAGAGCGCACGCATCAAGTCGCTGTGAGATGAGAGCTCGACGTCGACGATACGATCACCAAGGCGGGTGGGACGGCACTCAGTGATGTCACGACCGAAACGCTGGACGACGTCGATGGCGGCATCGAGAGTCTCGAGCTCAACGTAAGCCTCAACGGTCTTGGTGGTGACGCGGTCCATGATGATGTGAACAGGTTCGCAGCGCTCGGCAATGATCTTGGCATTTCTGCCCAGGAGAGAAGTGACCTCGCTCTTTGTGACGGTGTAAGGGATCTGTGTTGAAAATTCTGTTGTTAGTATATGACAAAAGCTTGAGAAGAGGTTATCACAAGGAATGAACTTACCTGTTTGATGACAATGACACCGGTGTTATGAACATTGAAGTCGTAGGCGTAACACTCAACAAAGGGGAAGAATTGAGAACTCAAGAGCTCATCGAGAGAGGGAGTTCCATGCTCAGTGAGTGCCTGAAGCTCCTCTGAACGACCGCGCATGACCTCACGCGAAGGGTCCTTGAACTTCAGCGGAGTGACCTCCATAGACTCCATAGCATGATGATGATGACCATGATCACGAGGGGAAGCGTGAACAACCAGGGAAGAGTTGTTGCTACTGGAAGCCTGAGGAGAGACGTAAGCGGCAATGCTGTTCTGCAGAGCCGCGTGAAGAGTGCTGTAGCTGAGACGGTCCGCGGATCGCTGACTGACGCTCTCATTGCTAGAGTGAGCGTAGGGGACGACAGTGCCTGTCTGAGTATGAGTATGGATGGGAGGAGGGATGCCGTTGTCGGTGTAGGAGGGATAAGTGACAGCACTGTCGGTGTAGACACTGCGAGCATCACCGTCTCTCTCCTCATCACACTGCTCACGACGATACATATTCATCTTTCCATCCGAGCAGCTTCCAGTGATGCCGGTTCGGTAACCTTCGACCAATGGTGCGGAGCCATCGTGGTCAAGATGGAGAGGATGGGCATCGTCGCTGAGCATGACGGGCTTGCCTTTGGTGGGAGTGGGGGTGTTGGGGTCGAAGGAGGAAGTGGCGAACTGCTGCTTGCCCTTGCTGCTATCATCGTTGCCAACGGTAGTTTGATGATAGCCTCCATTGGTGACCGAGGTGGTCTCGTCATGATGATGGTTAGTCATGCCGGTAGTAGATTGAAGGTTCTTGGTGTTCTTGTTGAACTTGATCTGGTTCTTATTGGCATTGTTCATCTCCTTGACCTTGAATGGTGGCTGGTAGATACTAACAGCTCCGTTGGGACGAGTAGAACCTTGCGCATGGGCGCTTGGCGCAACAGGAGCCGGTGCAGCGGTGACACGGGGGACAGGATTAGTGACGGAAGTATGGAAGGTAGGGTTGGCTGGTGCAACGGGCATGGGACAAGTCGGCTTGGGTGGGATGGTTGGCATGGGCGAAACACGAGAGTCACCATGCTTTTGCTGGCCCATAGTATGAGTCGACTGACTCTGAGTCTTCTGCTGCTGCATGTTGTTGCCCTGCTGGACGCCACCGCGGTTGGGAGTGGGAGTCATGGCAGGAGTGTACTTGTTGGTGCGTGGGGCTTTGGTGCTCGGGGCCTGCTTGTGGTTGTCCGACATTCTGACCTTGCCGGTGTCGTGCTGCTTCATGAGTTCATACAACTGAGCAGCAGTCATGTCCTCCTTGTGTTGATATTAGTCAGTCATGCAAACTGAATTGGGGGGAGGGGAGGGCGGATATGGGAAAGCAAAAGATGTAATGGAGAGACAAAGACGAAGTAGGAAGGAATGTGGAAGAGGATATGTACGTGACGGGAAGGTACTTACGGGTGATGACTCAAAACTGATGGCTCCTTCGGGCTTGTTGGTATTATCAAGTGAAGAGGGAGCAGTAGTTTCATTGGTGGTAGGAGTGCGTGAAGGGGCAACGGTGCCATCTGAAGTAAACGACTCAAAAACATTGAGGTTGCCACTAGGCACAAATGGTGCCGACATGGCGTTCAGTGTGCTCTCAATACGGGTGGGAGGGGCAGGGTTCTTCGACGCAGCGGCAACCTCAGCGGTGGGAACCTTGGGTGCAGGGGCGTTGGCCTTCTTGCGAGGTGCAGCTCGGGCCATCGCGGGACCCATGGTTGGCTTCTTCTCTTTGGTATCGCTCTTGTCACTCCCAGCTACGCTGCTGTAGACCTTCAGGAGAGAGACACCTCCACCACCAACATCATTGTCAGAGGATCCAGAGGGTGGGACCCAACGCTTGGGGCGGCGTCCGCCACGACCAGTGAAAGCCAGCTTCTCAGACATCTCCGACTCTGCTGCACTTGGTGCTGGACTTGGGACAGTTCTTTGGTGCCTATAGTTCATCATGATGTCAGTAATCCGAGGTTTGCAATGTAAGATGAGAGATATTTCTGGATGAGAGTAGGTTCGACGAGAGGGAAATGATTCGGCGAGCAAGTGCTTATACACGATGCTGCTGATCAGAGTGGAGGATGGTTGTGTTGGAAGAAGGGAGTTCGAAACGGCGAAGAAAGAAAGGAACCCGACTTTTGGGTTG